TGAAGAAGACAAAAAGAAAAAAAAAAAAAAAGAAACGTTTCGACGAAACGGTTACGTTTAACGGTGAAAAGAAGAAGAAGGAAAAAAAAAAAAAAAGAAAACAATCGATGCATCATCGATCGGTAAGGAAAAAAAAGTAATTTTTTACGAATTTCTGAACGAAATTACTTATGGAACGCGTCCACATCTCGACGTATCTCTTCCCTCGATATCTCTTCGTTTCACGCGAGTGTTATTGATTGTTGGAATCTCTTTCCACACCCTTCGTCTTCGTTTCCGAACGTTCGATACTCTTGCAAATGAAAAGGGAATAATTTGAAAGCGTTCCCGCCGCTGTTTCTCAGCGATGATTACGATGATTGCGCCAAGGTTGTTTAAAATATTTCGCGTGAATCGGAATTTTCTGAAAAGCGTGATCGTTTCGCCCAACAACGATCCTGTCTCGCGGGAAAAGGAGATAAAAGAGAGAAAGAAAGAAGGAAAAAAAGAGAGAGAGAAAAAAGGAAAAGAAGAAAAGAAACTTGTGCCAAATTTTCACGATCGTTGAGCCGCGCTCACGTATCGGTTACGTATCGGTCGAATCGAGCGCGTCGATGGGGAAGATCGTTGGCGACGCTCTTTCTCCTCTCGTAGGAGATCGCTGGTTGTTTCGTTTCTAATTAAAACGTGGTTATCTTAGAAAAAGAAAAGAAAAAAAAAAAAAAAAAAAAGAAAAAGTGACATTTATTCGCGTCGAATACGATCTTCCTCGAATCTTCGTTCGTTGTTGCTCGACAACGAGATTGTCGTCAATCGAGACATTTGTTCATTGATGCGTTGAAACAAATGCTTCTATCGAGTATACGATAGAACTTTGTAATTGTTATAACGATTTTTCGAACAGGAGAGAGAAAGAGTGTGTTATTTTATTGCGCGTTGCGAAATCCTCTCGTCGTATTATTAAATAAATAGTATATATTTATCGAAAAATCCGTTTGTTGCTCGCGAAGATAGGAAAGCGGTCGAATCGCGTTTCTTTCCGACTGTCTCTCTCTCTCTGTCTCCGAGACAATTTCAAAATCTCGGAGAAGAGAGACACGACGACGCGAGTTTCCTGCGCGTGAAGGGGAATTGAAAAAGATAAATAAAAGGAAGAGAATGAACATAACCGTACCTGCAGAAAGAAAGAAACTTAAAGCATAATAAAAGCGTTTAGATGTAACGTTAATTAGTGGGTAAACGTTTAATATTATTATTGCGTTTTATTATTATTATTATTATTATTATTATTATTATTATGATTATTATTATTATGAATATTATTAATAATATTATTATCGATAATAATATCATTATTGTGAAAACTGTTCGGCGTGAGAATGTTGCGAAACGCAAAAAAAAAAAAAAAAAAAAAAAGAAAAAAGAAAAAGGAAAAAAAAAAAAAAAAAAGAAAAAAAAGATAGAAAAATATTTTTTTATATATCGTCGAGAAAAGACTTGGCGAAAGGGTCCGAGATTGGGAAAAGAAAAGAGAAGAGAAGAGAAGAGAAGAGAAGAGAAGAAAAGAAAAGAAAAGAAGAAAAAAAACGAGAAGCGAGCGCAGGACGCGAGTTGTCACACTTGGAACGTTATTTCTCGTCTCGTCTCTAATATTCGAAAATGTTAATCAAGGAACTTTAGAAATCGAAGGGGAGTGTTTCTCTTCCAAATCGTCGCGCTCTCTCGCGTCGTAACACGACGACGAAACGGTGCCCTCGCGTTTCGGCCCCCTGGTGACCGATCCGTTTAACTACTAAGCTACCATGTATTCCGACGAAGCGCGGGCCGATTTCGACCATTCGGGAATAACTCAAGGTGCGGACGGATCCTCTCCCTCCCCCCTCCTCTCGAAAAATACTCACGTTCTCGCGACCAATTTGGATCGACTTATTTATCGATCGCCGCGCGTCGATCGTTTTCTCGACAGATGCTTCGAATTATCCTTAACCTCGGTACGAACGGTGTGAATTCGAACGAAGAATTGTTATCTTTTATCGAAGTTGAAGAAAGTCGAGTCGTTAACGTTATTCTCGTTTTTAAGTAGTAGTTTAATACGTGGAAGGGAGATCTGTCGATAAAACGGCGGCGACACCGTGTCCAACGGACGCATCCAACGGAGAGAGAGACTACCGCTGCTACACGGTGGTGTCAGCTACTTTAACCTTGCTCAACCTCGTTCGTTCGCCTTCTTCCTTGCCATAACTCGGCCGCTGTCCGGTGTGTCTTCTCCGCTCGTGGAGAAAACCACGATAGAACAGGTGGTGACGAATATCGCGAGTCACGCACGATGCTCATCCGTAATTAATACAGGTGCGCGCGCACACGTTGTATCGTTATATCGATATATTATATATGTAACATATATATATATATATATATATATATATACATTCGTATGGAAAGAGAGCACACTTGTACACCTAAAACGTAAAACGCGTTGTTCGGCAAATGCACGCAAATGTGGTAAGGTGCCGCGAGTTTTGAAAGGAGCGTATGCGCGCGCACGCACAAACAGGTATGTATGTATATCTGTATTTTTGTATACCGAGGTTTTTTCTAATTAGTCTTAACCGTTTTAAGCGTTTCGAGGAAGAACGTGTAATTAGCCGTTAAGAGAAAACTGTCGCTCTCTGCTTGCCATTTTTAACACTTGCCTTTGTCGATCGAACGATTACTCGGAAGGCGGCTTGTCGGAGTGAGACAAGAGAATGATACTAAGAGGCAGAGACCTCGAGGCGGAAGGTCTACTTATTGTTTGTTCCTTCAATTGAACGAAATATTGTTGAAAATTTGTGAAAAATATTTTTCGAAATCGTGTGTGTATCTTTTTCTTTTTTTTTTTTTTTTTTTTTTGTTGCAAGAAATTGCAATTATTTTTGATTGATTTTTCTTGAAATATTCTTCTCGTCTTTTTCTTTGATCATCAGTATTTTCTTCTTCTTTTTTTTTTTTTTTCTTCGTTCGACGAGAGGGAAACGAAGAAAATTTCTTCTGTATTCGCAAATTGGTAAATTTGATTAATTTACAAGTGATCGAAGTAATTGAACGTAATTTGATTTATTATTTCTTCATTGTATCGAGACGTCCGTCTCGATATCCAACCCTCGCGTGAATCAGCCTTAAAACTGAGAGAATCTCTCGTGCAACGAGCCCTTTTTCGCTTGATGAGATGGGAAACGAAACGAAATAAAAAGGGACGTGATTGTATGATAAAAAAAGGAAGAAAAAAAATAATGCACACATGTTCTTTGTGTCTTGAGGCAATTAAGCGATCGCCGTGCCAGACAACCTGTTCTTGTAATTATTAACACTCATTTAGCCATTCGTACGATTATAATTATTTCTATTATTATTATTATTATTATTAATTATTATTATTATTATTATTATTATTATTATTATTATTATTATTATATTAATTATTATGCCTAGTTACGTTGTTAAGTGATTAATCATGTTTAATGCTTCTATTATTTATTTTGTTATCCTATTCGCAAGTCAAGCTTCCTATTTTTCGTCCTATTCTTCTTACGTTCTCCGTTCTCCTTCCCCCCTTGTTCCTCGTTTCATCGAAAAATTCCGCCCTATCTCGTCGAACACGGGATGGAGAAGAATGCTCCGATCGATTGTTC